GTCTTCCTTTAATGTTTTATTTCGACTAGATACATTTGAAATTCTCTGTTCAATTCTTTCATAAAGAACCCGCATTTGTGGTGTGAATGTGACTTCATTATCATTCTTGTCTCGAGATGTTACTGATGTATCATCCCTTAACTTTGAAAAGGAGTTTCTTGGAGGAAAACTCCTTCTCTTAGTTTCCACTGTCCTTGCATATGAAACTTCTAACGACGAGGGAGAAGACTTATTCCTGGCTTCTAATCTCTGCAGCACCTTTGCTTTAAGGGCCTTCATTTGCGGGGTGTCCAAGATTTTATCATACGAACGTCGTCGATTGGATATTTCCTTTTTCTCAACATTGCGCTCAGGTGTCATTGCACTGCGATGAACCTCTTCTTCGTGAATTTTACATTCATTTACTAAAGATGTCTATACAACAAATGCTTTACAATTAACAACTTTTAAGAGTTATAGAATAAGGATACAATTTAACGTGTTCTACAGCAGACAAATAAACCATAAAAAGTAACATACTTTGCTGGCCTCGTCCAATGTTGGTTGAATCCACGAAGATTTATTTGTTTTCACATTAAAGTAATACACTCTGTCCGGATGACTTTTAGAATTGACAGTAATCCAATCCTTCGGCAGTTTACGCTTTAACATGATGAGGAGATGCGCGTTGTAGCAGGAAATTTGAAAAGGAGGCCGTATTACTCGTTTAATCGTCCTTCAACGATCCTCGAGCAAAACAAAACTCTGTGAAAAGATAATTGTATGTATGTACATACATAGTACATACATACATACATACATACGTGTCACGACCTCATGCAATGGGCGCGTTCAGCAGACACAACTGTTGCACAACTGTTCGTCTTATCAACACTCTGCGTTGATTGGTTGGTTCTAATGCTGGGTCTACAATGCGAGTCGCAAAGTCGTGAGTCACAAGAATTGACTAATCACAGTCAAATTTGAGGAGAATAATCGACTGTGATTGGTCAATTCTTGCGACTCACGACTTTATGACTCGCATTGTAGACCCAGCATAAAAGAGCCAATCACTGCCAAATGTTTTGTATCTTTGTATGTGTAAGTGGTAATTGTATTTTGTAAGTATGTATTGTATATATGTATATAGGTGTATTAGATTCACACGCTCGATTCTTGAATTTATTCGCAAGAGAAACGTATGCGAAAATTCTGCTCTTACAGAAACGTTAGAAGTTGATTGGTTAAAAGCTATGCGATAGCCAATCGACTTGCAACTTTTCTGTAAAAACAACATTTGCGTATACCTTTCTCTCGCGAATGAATTCAAGAATCATCGAGCCCAGCACGAAGATTCTCTAAAGGTCTATCCAGACAAACTCGCATATACTACGTTTATGCGAGCGTTACTTCTGTAGTAACTTACGATAATTCCTTCGCGTAAACGGGATTTTGTAGTAACTTAGGCTGGAGTCCCATGGCATGTGTGTGTATTTTCCGCGTAATGGTTA